ATTTTCATCCTTGATGTACTTCACTTGAAATAAATATTTATTTCTCTTATCTCTTTGTTTGGTTAACTTAAATATATATCTTTCATTATTCTTAGTATCTAATCTATCTTAATAATGACTAAAAGTTAAGTTCTTCACATTATATATTGTTGTCTTAGAATTTTCAAAATTTTAAGTTTTTATATTTAAGCCAATTTTTATAATAAAATTTCTTATTTCGATTTTTTTTAATATAATTTGATTCCACATCAATTTTCTTTATTATGAAGAGCTTTTACTTTTAATTTTTCAAGTGCATACTTTGCAATAGTCTTAATACCACTAATTACTTTTTTTTGCATAATATTATCTTTCTTATGAACAACTAAAATCATAAGATTTAAAATTCTACTCTAAATTATTAGTATTTTTAAAATATCTAATTAATCCTAGGACAATATTTTACTTCATCTTTAATTTTTCACATTTTTATCTTAAATTTCAAAACTAATAAGTGATGTTTGTAATAAATTTTCACTTGAAATAACTGTAATTTTTGCAATTCACATGATTTATTTTTCTTATAAAAAATAATTAATCTAAGTTTTACTTTGTCCATTCCTATAAGTGATAATATGTGATAGGAAATGCTTGCAGAAATCTAGGAAAAATCTTGGCTGAAATTTGATTTCAACAATTTCAGAAATCAACGACAAGAAAATCAGAAATAAAACACGCAAGAATATTTTTTTATTAAAAGTTTTATGAAAGAAAAGACAAGATATAAGTGGATCTTCAATTGGAGAGGAACTAGGCTCTCCCAAATCTATTGTTGTTGGCTAGAGCCCAAACATCCGAAGAACAATTTAATTTCAGCAACCAACGCATATCCCTAACCCTAGGAAAATCACATATTTAAAGCAAACAATAAACAAAAAATACCCAAATAGCCCTCTCCCAATTCCCTCCTATTTCCTTAATTATTTTCCTCCCAAATCAACCCCCAAATCTTCCCTCTTCAATTATGAAATATTTTCTAATTAATCCCCTTTAAATTAGCCCCCAAGGATGCTTTCTTCAATTAGGAAATATTTTTTAATTAATTCCTTTTGATTAAGAACATTCCTAAATAACTCCCTCTTGGTTAGAAAATTTCCTATTCCCTTCCAATCAAATTGGCCAGTCCATCAATACTTCCCTTCCAAAGTGTCATCTATTCCTCATGGTGGAACGAAGGAAACTGCTACTGAAGCACTCGACTAATAGGACTGGACTGAAAACTGGACTGACACTAGGTCGAATGATCCTTGCCTCTAGCATCTCCCTAATCAATCTCTTGATCTCTTCCTTTTGGATTTGGGGATAACAATACAGATGAACACTGATAGGTGAGACTACTTCCAAGGCCAATAAGTTTGCCCAAAAAAAAGAAGAAGAAAAAAGGTGAGACTACTTCCAAGGCCAATAAGTTTGCCCAAAAAAAAGAAGAAGAAAAAAGGTGAGACTACTTCCTTCAAGATGATAGCACTCTCATGTTCCCGCGGAGGAAGCAACACCTGAACTGGCTGGAATACCTCTCGATACTGTTGTAGGATTGGTTGAACTATATTTGGTGCTTCTATCTTCTCTTCATCATCTTGACATTCCAAACTCTGCAGCTCCACCAAAAATCTCATTCATTCATCGTTTCTCCCTTTGGAAGTGTCTCCAAAATCACCTCTATGTCATTTATTAATATAACCGATAATGTTGAGCTGGCAGGAGCCAGATTCTTCATAGGTGAGGTCATTGAATTCTTGTTCACTTGAGATTGAGAAACTACATAGGCTTTATTATATTATCCGATATAAGCATGATTTATTAAATAAAACTTTACATCAGATTCAGTTACTCTAGCAAATTTGTTTATGCTTTGTTGATAGTTCTGCTTAACATGATGTCGTTGATGCTTATAATGCATTTGACCTGAAGATCCAAAAACTTCATTATCATTCCCTATAGGTTGGAAATCTTTTTCTCCATTGTTGATATTTTGTCCTAAAATGCCAATTTGAGTTGGCCAATTTTTCCTTTAAGACGTTCTTTCAGGGCATCAACTTTCCTTGCAGTCATAGGTCAAAAAAAAAGTGCTCTAATACAAATTTGATAGGAAATACTTACATAAATTTAGGAAAAACTTTGGCTGAAATATGATTTCATCAATTTAAAAAAAAATCAACGACAAGAAAATCAGGAATAAAACATACAAAAACATTTTTTTATTGAAAGTTTTATGAAAGAAAAGACAAGATACAAGTGGATCTTCAATTGAAGAGCAAGATCCGGCTCTCCCAAATCTCTAGCCGCTGGCTAGAGCCCAAACATCCTAAGAACAATTTAATTTCAGCAACCAACGCTTGCCCCTAACCCTAGGAAAATTACATATTTAAAGCAAACAATAAACAACAAATACCTAAATAACCCTCCCCCAATTCCCTCATATTTTCTTAATTATTTTCCTCCCAAATCTGCACCCAAATATGGCCTCCTACACATAAGCAGCAGTGTACCACCTCAACGTCAAGCCCGTTTTTGGCACGCAAGTAGCATGTTGGCGTCGAGCCCATCTCCAACACACGAGCTTCACCTAGCATTAAAACTATCCCAACACACGCTCAAGGTTTCTTTGTTGTTGCTTTGGTTTCGCGTGCTTTGCCTGCTTCATATGAAGTAGAGTTTTGAACGAGTAGCTCAAAGAAAGCTTCTTCGCCTCCTTCGTCAATGACATTCCTATCAAATCGAAGGCACAAAAGAACTCGCAGCGAAGGCAATTATCTTTCTTTCCATTTGCATGCTTTATTTTCTCAATTTTAGTTTCTTCTCGACAAATAATTGAAGTTGATTCCTCAATATCTGGGTCATATGTATCATTAGTGCTTAGAGTAAAGGTCAAGGCTTTAGCTCCAAAGAGTCTCGTTGTTCTCACAACATAATCAGATGATTCTTCTGCCATCTCCAATCTGTAGATTGTTCTCAAAATTCTCTCTAACATACACTATATCATTATGGTTATCCTCTCATCAAATTTAGCACGCTGTTTGGCATTTACAAACTCTTGGTTTTCCATATTTACATATTTTTCTTTGCCTCTTTCTTATTATTCTATTTCAATTAATGCTCTTATTCTAGTTAATGACATGCTCTGTGCTCACAATATTATGAAAATTAGATGGGGGCATTGAACCAGAAAAAGGAGATGTTCAATGTTTAATAGTTCGATTGGGGTTGACCCAAATAACGTAATAAATATTTATATCATTTAAATAAAAATAAATATTATAATAAGAATGTAATAATTATACAATAATATGATTTTATGATTAAAAAATAAATTTAGTTTACATAAAAATTAATAAAAAATATATATTGTTACATTTAATAATTTATTTTTACTAATCTTGTCTAAAATCATTTAATAATTTCTTTTTACTTGTCGCATCTGCCTAAAATCGCAAACAACCCGCTCTCTGAACAAATACAAAATGAATCAAAGATCCTTTGTTCGTCAACGAGCTCATTTGGTAACTCGAAAACACTAATTAGACATGTTCATGAACGAGTTCATTTGATAGCTTAAGAATACTCAGTAGATATGTTTGTAGACGAGCATGTTTGATAGTTTAAAAAATTTTGCTAGATATGTTCACGACAATGCTCGATGTAATTGTTTGTTAGAAGGCTCGATAAGGCTCGTTTGTTAAGTTAATGCACATCTAGAAGTAGAGGTCATTTATAGCTCGATAAGGTTCGTTTGTTTAAAGCTCGATAAGCACGAAATGAATCGAACATGAACACCCATTAATTTAAATGAACCAAGTTTGAACACAAACAAAAAAGTTTGAATCAAACTTGAACCGAACTTGAACAAACTGATAATAAGCGATCTTAAACATGAACACACACATATTTGACTCGGCTCAGTTTGTTGCAGCTCTATTTATTTTGTCTTATTTATATAGATTTTTTAATTTGCATATGGTAAAAGCTCATATTGAGTGGTGGGATCATGTGAGTTTTTTTGGTAGTTGGTTGGAAAATAATTATTATATAAATTTAATGCTCATTATAAATTTAAATATGTTAAATTTATACTAAATTTATTAAATTAATCTATTTATGTTAAATTTATACTAAATTTATTAAATTAATCTATTTAATTATTTAAATCATATAACATTGAACTGGTTGGTTTCTAAGGAATCAGTACCTGTTCACCGGTCAAACTGACGGTTCTGACCGATTCATGCCGATTCGATGTTGGACCGATTTTTACTTAAAAATCGAATCGACCATATGACCAATTCACGATTTAACTTGTCGGTCTGGATTGGTTTTCAAAACCATGCATGCTCATTGCAACTTTTATGATTTTGAATCCATAATTGTCTATGAATCACACCCAACTATATTGAGAATACTGAGTGAAAAGGGAATAGAGAAATAGAGAGAAAAAATAATTCTAGAATGAGAAGCTTTGAGGCTTTGTAAAGTATGCTTAATTATTGAAAATTATGTAAATTGAACTCACCTCACTCTCTATTTATAGATTTGGGTTAGGGCTTGAGTAATACATAATTCAATAATCATGCAACCTAATTATAATGTTCAACTTGATGAAGGCACTTGTCAAGCTTCTAAATAGCCAAATATTCGATTAATAACTTTTCAAGTGGCCGCCCACCTAAAGTAATCGCAAGGGTTGACTTTATAGGCTATACTTGCTATGGCCGATAGATAGGCCATATTTGTTTGATTGGGGTGAGTTCTTAGATCGTATTTGCCTGCTTGAGACAAGTTCTCTTGTAGACTGGCAAGTCTCTTTGAACTGATGTCGAGTAATACAAATTAGCTTGGGTTGAACGGGGTTCGACTTAGCTTGAGCCCTATTTTCTTCATATTTGTATGTGCACTGGTGGCTATTTTTGTCTCATTTGCTCTTTTTAAATAATTCTAAATCAAGCTGTTTCTTGTATTTGTGACAGGTGGAAAAGAACGAAGAACATCTGGAGAGCTTGGAGAATCGTTTTTCAACCTTTGAAGGCAAACATGTGAATGTGGATAATGAGAAGGATCTGACACTTTATCAGGTGGAGGAATTGAAGGGTCTGTTGAAGTTAGCAAAAGAAGATCATGAAAACCGTTTCCTTTTCTTCAAGAACCAAACTAGCGCTTTGAATAATCAGATTCACATATTGAAAGAAAAAAATCAGCTTATAAATGAGGAGCTCGAGTATGGGCTGCATAAAACAGTGAACGGTGATTTTGATTGCTTTATAACGCAGCAAATTTTGTATGACATATACGAAAAAAATCTTACTCTTTCAGATGAATGTCAGAAACACATAGATAAATTAAGGTGTGTGGAGAAACTTACTTCGGAACTCAGACAGGATCAGTCAACACAAGAGAAAAAACTAGGTTCACTAGTGGAGCATAATAGGGAGCTTTTTGAGTGGGTTCATGTGATGGTAAGGGCATTCGATGCAAAAGAGGACAGTGAGGCTTCTAATGCTGGTTATAAGAATATGGTGCAGTTTATTTCCCATAAAATGAACGCTTCAGTTACAGAATCCAATGAAGAATCCCATCACGTTCATCTTGAGAAATCCCCTTTTACTGTTCTTTTAGAGGAGCTTGGCCTGAGTTTTGTAGAATTGAGAGCGCATAAAAATGTTCTTGAGAAAGAATCTGAAAAGAAAAATGAAGAAATTTCTGTTCTCCACAACAAGTGTTGTGAACTCATGGAGGTAAATGAGCAACTGAGGAAGGATTTGAATACTAGCAATCAACAAAAAGAAGATCTAAAAGCTGAATTGGAGAAAACTCATCAAAAGTTATCAGAGATGCCGAGCAATTTTCATGGCGAAATCCCCAAGTTGTTTGCAGAAAGTGAGTGTGTATCAAGTAAATCTTTTGAGTTAAGGGAGCAGACCGATTCACAGGAAGAGGAGCATGAAGCCATCTTTGAAGAATTTATGATCCATGAGAACCTCTTTTGTAATTTCGGAAGTTCTGATGCTGAGAAATCTTCATTACTTGATCAGTTAATTGATGATGTGTACAATCTTCATGGGATCACAAATGACCTTGGTCAGGATATCAGAGTAATAAATGAAAATTTGAGAGCTCTACAAAATGAGAATATGCATCTTAGGGACTTAGCTGTTAATTTTGAGACCAGAAATTCTATATTGCTAGAGGATGATATCCACAGAATGAGTGAAGTTTTTGGGAAACTGAACCCACAGAGTGACGCTAGGAAGAATCTGTTAGAGCAGACAATCATGGAGTGGTCGGATACACATCCGAGGATCCAAAACATGCAACTCAATAACAAAAATTTGTGTATTAATTTAGAAGGTCTTATAGAGGAGCTGGACAAGGCTAATGTTGCACGGGAAGAGTTGGAGGAAAAAAATCTACTTTTATCTAAAGAAAATGTCTGCATAGTTGATGAGAAGGAATTCCTTCGCCAATCTAATGAGAAACTTGTTGGAGAGATCTCCAGATTGCGTACAGAAACTGAAGCACTAAGAAGGAGAGAAAAGAACTTGACTTCTGAACTCCTGAGAGCAAAAGATGTAAGTAGGTGCATTGAAGAAGAATCTGCAGCATATTTACTTGATATTAATGTTGCATCAATCAATGAATTGGTATTTAAACAGAAGTTTGTTGAGCTGATGGTCAAAATTAAGAGCCTTGAGGCCAGTGAATATGTGCAACCTAAGATAGCATTAGGGGAAATTTCTCCCAGTAATGTTGAAAGGGATGATTTAGTGAAAAAAGTTAATGACCTTGAAAAAGAAAATATTGGACTGAAGGCAGAGTTGACTGCTTATCTTCCTCATCTCGTATCTTTGGATAATGATATTGCCTCTTTGGAAGAGGACAGTCTTTCACTGGCAAATGATCACATCCTCAGCAGTAAGAGAAAACAGGTAAATTTTCTTCATGGATGCTTCAAATTTATGATTATTAGTAAATTGTATAAAAATTGAATCTCCAAGAAGCATTTTTCAAAACAACACTGTATTTATTGACACAGCGCACAAGAGCATCATATTTTGTATGACTCTAAAAGCATATATAATGAAACTTTTTTTTTTTTATTTTACTGAAATGAACTAATGACACTCAAGTGAAATCTTTTGTCAGGGTAATAATTTATTGGCAACACTTCAGCGGAAGAGATTTAGCCAAGTAAGAGGTAAAGATCATATTTCCAAAGCCTCAGCAGGAATCGTGGAGCTGAAGAAAATGCATGCAAAGGTTAAGCAACTTCAGATGGCAGTAACAGATACTACGAGGATTCTCGCACAAGAAGAAATTGTCACTGATACTAACTTTGTAAGTGAAACAAGAAAATCCAAAGCGAGAAGATCAAAGGGAAGCAGAAGCGCACGTGAAAAGGAAACAGAAAAGAAGAAAGATGTTATCTTGGATACAAGAAAGAGTACTGCAGCTGACAAAGGTGTTAGACTGATAAAAATTGACCAGGAAGTATCCAAAGTGAAGCATAAACAGATGACAAAAGACATAGAACTTGATCATATTTTAAGCAGCTTTAGAAGTGAAGATGATCCCAATTCTGAGACTGATCAGCAAGCATTTGAAATGTTGGATCCTGCAACCGATAATGTTGAAGAACATCAAAAGATTGACATAATGGAGGGAGAAAGAAGTGAAAATCCTTCTTCTGAACTAGTTCTGGAGAAAGAGTTTAGTGTTGACAAGCTACAGATGCCGATAAACGATACCAGATCCCATCAGGAATGGAGTAGAAGGGTAACTGAAACTCTTTCTTCTGATGCTCTGAGATTATCTATCCTACAGGAAAATTTAGAGGAGCTGAAAAAGAAAATCGAAGTTTCTGAAATGAGCAGTCAATCTCCAAGTTCTGCATCAAACAGCATTACTGAACAGTTAAAAATTTCCAAAGGAGTTATCAAGCAGTTGATTGATATCAACTTCAAACTTACTAAAATGGCTGGCGACTTCTCTGTATCTTTGGATGACAATGAAGGAAGAAGACAAATCTCAGAGCGTGTTCAAATAGCTTCAGAAAAGATTGATGTGGTTGAGCTGGAACTCGAGAGCACACAGTTCCTCTTGTCAAAACTCCTGGAAGAACAAGAAAGCAAGGCACTCAAAGCCTTGCAGAGGAAATCAAGATTCCCCTTGAAGAGCTTCATATATTGGAAAAGAAATGATTCAAGGCAAAAGAAGCGACGTTTTTGTGCTTGCATGAGGCTCAATACCAAGGGTGACTAACTACCTACCTACTTTTTTAAGCTTAATTTGCTAGTGGAAGTCCTTTGTATGTATGATTAATCAACATGAAGAACATAAGGGTTTATATCATATTGATGTTCTTCTAGTAATTGATTTCATGTAATGGAGTTTTCTCCATTACATGATCATGTTCATTCTGATCCATCTTACTTATTAAGACAAATTGTGTAATGGACTGTAAATTTGGTGGATGGTTAGGCCTTTGTGATTGACCAGTGGTGAAATGATTGTGTAATTATATGAATGCATCATGTTTTGTATTTGTTGTAGAGATGTTTGTATTGATTATGCTTTTGACAGCCATTTAAATCATCATCCACCCACATCCACTCCCCATGTCGGGTGTCTTTTTCCTTATTTACTGTGGATCATGACATCTCAAAGAATATATAGCCAGGTCAGGCAGACTTGGTTCGACCAGTTCAGGTTCATTAAAATCTTATGTAGATCGCTGGTACGCCATTTAGAGCATCTATGTGCATTGATAAAATGCACATTTGACTATAACAATGTAATATTTTGAAATCATTTGATTTTTGAATTAGTTCACCAGGTTGTTTACTATTATACTTTAAGTGTTTGATTTAAGCTCATTTGAACTTGGATCATATTAGTTTTGATATCGTTGAGTTTGTCTCATTGAGACACTTTGTAGGGCTTTAAGTTCGTTGAAGGGGCTGGATCGTCCTCTGTCATTTTCACTCATTCAAATACCCTAAATAGTCAGGAACGAACAGGCTTTTCGGTTTTTTCCTTCTCTAGAAACGGTAAATGTTGAGGGCTGCGAGATCATCTTTGGCTGAAGCAAGGGAGCTCTTGTTCTCTCAGCAAGCAGTGTGTGATTCTCTTCCTTACCGATCGTAAAGTGAGAAAAGAGACAAAGCTCCTACAGGAGTCGAGTGCCCTCTACTGGAACGGAGAGAGGAGCTGCTACGACCTTCTCTTCCTTCCCCATCTTGATTTTAAAAGGAAATTGTTTGATAGCTAATTAAACAAAAACAAAAT